AATGCGTCTGATTGATAAAAATATGGAAAATTTTATAACAACTTCTAGAGGATTGCCAAACGTAAATGAACTAAACCAAAATGTCAGATTAAGATTTTCTATTTGGTTTTTAGAGAATGCCAGATTTGAACAAATCATTATCAGTTGAACCAATTAGTAAAAGAACACATCCACCACCACCACCTATTCCATTACGTGCAACTTTGTATAAAAGAAATTTTTACCTTTTTTTTTGCGAAAAATACAATAAAACATTTCTCAATGTGTATTTTAGAACTATATCAAATAGTATACCAACAGATTATACCGGTCACTCGAATATGTTTCCACCACACGATGGATTCGATCCGTTTCATTCAAATATGACTACCAATATTTCGACTAATCAAGAAAATCTATTTGCTCCTCTGCAGTCGACCACAGAAAGTACATAAATATTTTATCAAAAATATGTTAACACATATTTGCTTTAGGCAAAAATACAACATCAATATCATCCACTGACGATGATGCGGAAGTGGCTAATTCATTTCCTAATGAAAGTTTACCAACAAACAAAACAACTTTATTTCGTAAATTACAAGTACCTTCTTTTCGTCACGTAAATGTAAGGATTTATTATTTAGTTCATTTTAAAATATTACTCAATATCTTTCTGAAAGCTATCTTTGTGTATGTAATCGAAGTAAATTTCTACATAAGTGAATATAATTTTCTTGCCGTTATCTACTTTATTGAAACTTGGATAGGATATGTCAGAATGTTCTTTTACAATAATATTGTTCTTGATGTGATTAATAAATATCGATTGGAATTTTTTCGTCAAATATTAAATTATGCTCAACGAACGCATACCAACGAGTTTTAACGAGTAATTTTACGCACGAGTAATAGTGACTGTGTCCTAGTCTTCTGTTAAATATGCAGAAATGTTTATTGAATAATCAGTACTAGTCGATGCTACATAAAGACGAAATATGAGAAAAGAATATAAAGTTTTAGGCGGTGTTGCCATGATATTGGTTAAGAGAGTTGTTGAGATAATTATAGATCTTATCCAACTCTTTATATTGATCTTTGCAAAAATGCCGAATCTATTTTTTTTGCATAAGAAATTTCAAGGACTTCAAATTATAATCTCTCATAAGTATAAATGATCTCTTATACTAACGAAGACAAAACTGACATTTATATTATTTTATAGGTATCAATGCGAAAATATTTTTTTGTAAAATGATTAAGATCTTCTTCATATATCCTTCTTCTAATAAGCTAATCATTTTACTTTAATAACCAAATGAAACTTTAATTTTCTATTCGTTCTTTTTTTCCATTTCTCTATTCAGCAACAACAACCACAATGGACTTCGATTAGTCCATCAATTACTTCAACTAATCCAAATTTACATGATAGTCCAATGCCATCTAATGAGCATAGAATATCTCCATCAACTCCTGATACTACGGATCTAATTCCACTTGCAATTGCTTTTCAAGAAATAATTCATGTTATGATATCTGGAAATAATCAAGAAAAGTAAAGAAAACAAAATACGTATTCCTAATTATATTTTTTATTTGTTCTTAAGTTGGCAAAGCCAAATTGTTGGTGAAATGCTTATTTCATTTCCAGCTTCAATTTTAAACCTATTTGTTGATCCATCATATTTTTCAAATAGATTACAATTTCGATTGAAAAATTTAGATCATATTGAAAATATAATTACAAAATCTTCATTAATCACACAGTATAAACAAAAAACAAACAGTTTCATTTTTTTTCTAATTTAATATGTATATCTTTTGTTTTTTGATGAAATAGACATGAATTATCGACGGATTCAAATGAACCAATTTATTCATTTGATATGACAGAATTACATAATGCTCTTCAAAATTTACGAGAAAAAAATCATTCATCACGTTTTTTTAATCTTAATGTGCTCAATTATGAAGTTTGTTAATTTCTGCCTATTTTTCTATTTTGTTATCTTTTAATTTATACTTTTAAAAGGTAAAACATTCAGATGTTTCAAACATTCCAATTCAAATGTCATCACAGTGGACGCGCACATTTGATACTATTTCAGTAAATATAAAATATAGTTTCAATAGTTCTGCTTTCCCCAATTCAATTCGAATAAATAATGATGCAGTGATATTTTATACGATCATCACAGATGGGCAAGAAATCAAAGAATCATTACCGACTGCTGCATGGTGAACGGTTTTTTCTTCTTTAAAAGGATAAATGTAACATCTTTTCGATGAGTAGGTCTGTGAAGGAATCTAAACTCTGGTGGAAAGTTCCATATGTGAATAATGGAACCGGAAACTTATCAGCAACAATGATCACTACGCAAAAGAATACAGTTGATAACGATCAACAACAACCATTAACAACATCATCGACTATAAATGCTTATTTTCTTGGTGAAAATGCACTTTTTTCATCAATTGATTTTGATCTTGCTTGTAATGGGTATCGAATATCATTACTCAAAAAAAAAATACTCAGTGGTAAGTGTTCATTAATAAAAATTGAGTTAACAAAAAAAATTGATATTAGTTTCGAAAAAGATCAACTGTTTAAGTTTAGCAATTGTGCGATTGATTTCAAAATGAAACTTGATATAAAAGTTATATGTATATATAATTTAAAGTATTAGAAATTGAAGTGGTGATATTCAGATCTTTCTGTTTATTCATTTAGTATTCGAAAGACAATATCAGGGTTGTCGATTGTTTTAGGAGTGGGAGAGGAGGGGGAGACTAAAATTTTGGCAGATACTGTTCTCATTTTTCTGGCGTGAAAACTGTTGACCAAGGGGGGGGGGGGGGGAAGAAACGACACTAGTTTTCACTAGATCGTACCGTAGCTCCCCCTCGGATTTCCACAACAATCGGTCATTTCTCCCAGCAACCGTAAAAAATTGGCAGACAGTATTAAAAATTTTCGCAGACAGACAGGCAATTTTTTTTTGGGGGGGGGGGGGAAGAGGATAGCCTCCCCATCCCCCATAATCGGAAAGCCTGGACAATATTAGAATTAACTCCATATATACACATATTCGCTATTGTTACTAACGAGGAAAATACCCGAAGTCATATCCGCCGTTTGAACTAACATTGAATTCACAGATGGATGTCGACAAGTCTAGAAAAATCTTGAAAGTCTCAAGCGATAAGAATGTTTCTTTGTCAAGATCTTCAACTTTCCAATAAACTTGATTTTTGTGAAAAACGAACTTTTTTTTTAAATTGAATATCTCGGCAAAGGAGCCTTGTTTTCGGTTGAAACTTTCAGAATATTTTCAAAGTCATCAGATCTACATATGCACACGACTTCAGATTGAAACTCAGTACAGCAGTCATAACTCGGCTCATGATCATAAACTCTTTTGTGACTTTTCCAGTCTCATTGAGACCCTGTAAAATCAATATTTGCTCAAATGGCACGTATATCAGCTCGAATAGTTCTCTCGTTTCATGAAAGTAGCAAGGAAGTCCTTCTGCATCCCAACTGGCTAATGGATTTTGAATCTAGATGATCTATATTGTGTAGATCTTAATGAGATATGAATATTCTAAAAAGAGTTCACGTTGTTAGCTTATTGCTATCGTGATACTGCATTTTTAAGATATTCGGTTCAATCAAAGGTATTGTCTTCTTTAAAGACAGAAGAAAAACTGACTTTCGAAATTCTATACATTGATAGTACTTAAACAAAAAGAATTTAAGGTGAGAGGTTCAGATCTTAATATACCACTATAGTAAAAAACGTGTCCGTTAACTTGTACATGCTCATTAGTAGATCCTATGATCTTAATTCAGGACAGAAGCAAATAAAAGATCGTTAATGTTACAATAAACTATTCTCTTTAAGATTTATCTCTATGCAAAATTTTGAAAATTAGTTGCTTCAATGTTTCTGAGAGTATCAGGTCTTCTATGTAAAAAATACAGTATTTTGGCAGCAATAAACTGATATGACCAACTCTTTTTAAAATACCAACATCCTTCTTCAGATTTACATGATGCACATTGTTCGGATCCAAGTCAAACACAGACTAATTACTTGGAAGACTTCTCTCATAAGTAGTTAATTAGAAGTCTCAAGAAAGCAATAGATTCTTTGTAGAATTCAGATTATATAGGTTGTACTCACAGACCAAACATCTAATCTTTTATTAAGATTGAGCGAAGATAATTAAAATCTACAAAACTCTTTCTTTGTCACAGAAGGATTATAAACACATCTAGACCAAACAGTTGCATAGCAAACAAATAATTAGACAGAAAAATGTTTATAAAGAAATTTCTTTTAACAAAAATCTCACAAATACTTATGTTGAATAAATTTAAATTATTTATCAACTTAAGGACAATATTAATAAATTAAAGGACTATTCAAAACGCATAAACCTTTTTATCTGTATTTTATTTATATTTAAACTCACTACAATAAAGTACTTTTCAATTTAACAAAGCTATTATCGAACAGTTCTTTACAATGATATTTATCTTAGCCTTTATATCTTTTTAAATAATATTCTTTAACACTTATTGGATTCTAGGTAAATATGAGTCTGAACCAGATCAAACTGAACCATTACATTTATTTCAACGTCCAAGCGTATCGCCTTCAGCTACTTTTTAATTAAATCCCAGTGCAAAATCACATAACAATGTGATAAAATTTTATAGTTCTTTCATGTAGTCTCAAAAATATTGGACACAAAAAATTACAGTATTGACAAGACGGTTCTTTTTTAATTAATTAATTTATTGTTATTATTTCTAAAATCTCTTAACGTTCTTTTAGTTGATATTAATATTTATTTTCTTTATTTTGTCAATAATAATTGTTTTATTATCTTTTTAATTTTGCTCAGAAAATATGTGCGTTTCAATTCACCCATTGTTCTTTATTTTATTTATATCAACGGATGTGTATTTTGTTGTGAAAAATAATAATAATAAAAACCTGCAATAAAATTTAAAACTCAATATCCTTGATCAGTTTTTCTTTTAATAAAATAATATCTTGTAACCAATTTTGACGAAAACGAAATTCTCCCGGATGATAAACAACTCTCATTGTTTCAAATACAAATGAAACTTGTACTGTTGTATTCTAATCAAATAAACAAATGTAATTTTCTTTGAACAATCATTATAATCATGTATTTACTTTAGGTTTTACTTTTGAAACATCAATTGTAAAATAAATCGAAACTGTTTGTCTTGGTATGGGTTGTCGTCGTGTCGGTATTGAATAACGTACCTAATGAAGAAACAAAATATTTACAAAATAAATAAATAAAAAGAAAATATTTACTCGGTATATGTATAGATCATTAAATTCTAATGATTTTCGTTCCAAGAAATCAATTGCATATAACCAACTGCTATCGTGACCACCTGATGCTGTTTTCCATTCCTTTAAATAAATGATGTAAAAGCGTTAATAAATTATAGTGTCCGTCTTAGGTAGACAATATTAAAAAGACATAAATATCGCAATATAGTTTCTTTTTTGTAATAGGATCGAAAAGGAATTCTTGATATACTGAAGGTGAAACGAACGTTATCTATAACTGTGAAAGGAAGGAGAATGTTACATATTTCATACTCCCTTCTACTCAGAAAAGTACAAGGTAAGATTTGATTTTCTACTCGACACCCTGATGAAGAAAATTTTGTAACCCTTACTCTGTCTTAGAAACTATGAACTCTTACTTGGAGTATCGTATTAGGATCAGCATTAGCATTTATTAATACTAATGTTAATGCTTTAGACATTAATATTAACATTAATCTCAATACTTTGATATTATTTGCATTAGAATTAATTAATACGAACATGTTAATATTAAATTAACATTATTTAAGATGTTAATACATAGATTATCGACGATTAGATCTATAAATACTTTAAACTCAGAACTTCTCAAAATCAAAGATTTTTGTTCTGTTTTAGAAATAGCACCTCCGGTTAAAGAGATCTTTATTCTGTTTTACAAATGGCATTAATGGTTGCAAGAATCTTTCTTTTGTATTTGGAAATGACACTCATGGTTGAAAGAATCTTTGTTCTACTTTATTAATGGCACTTCCAGTTGAAACAATCTCGTTCTGTTCTGGAAGTAGCACTCACGGTTGAAATAACCATTGTTCTATATTGAGTATTGCACTGAATGTTAAAAGAACTGTTGTTCTATTTTCAAAATAATACTACAGGTTAACACAACTTTTGTTCTGCTATCGAAAACTTTCGAGTATGCACCTTTAGAGATGCAGTCGCAAGTAACATATGTATTAAAATGAAAAATAATATTAATCGAATCCTAAAACCTTGCCTTTAATTCACTCTAATACAAATAATACTTAATCTTTAAGAGTAATTTAAATACGAATACCTAAACGATTAGGATTATTGCAATACTAATCTGAAATCTCTAATTCTTATCCAACGATGTGTTTGTGTCAGTCTCCCTTATTTCTATCTGAATTAGAAGACTGTAAAGATGAAAAATAGCTAAATATTATCACGTTAGAGATGTACAGTATAACCGTTTTATCGTACGCTACATCCTGATTGAGAAAACTTTTCTAGTCCTGACTTTATCCTATCCTACAGCGTAGAGTAGCCTTGTACATCTCATCTTCTGATTGAGCCAGTCTATCATACAATATAATTCATGTACCATTTCATTCATTAAGAAAAACCTAGACTGCCATCTGTTATTTATTAAAAATAAATTCTTTTACTTCTTCTTTCATATTTGCATTTAATAAATATTACTTTTAAGGAAATAATATTCTTAAAAATTAAGACTAAAATGAATTACCTTTTCAATATATTCATTTATTTTTTCTACGCCAATTTTTTCATGGGTAAATTCAGCGATACTTGGCCAACGAACTGATGAATGGCCTTTTGTTTTTCCTTCACTTTCTAATATAATAAACCGATCTCGTTGAATATTATATTCCTCATTATTTTCATCGGACGTTTCCTTTGTATCATTCACATGTGCTAATGATTGATTTACAAGTTGATCGATAATACGATGAGCTTCACGTGAAAATAAGTCATAATCTTCCAATTGATCTAAAGACTATAAAACAAAAACAAAGATCAAATCATTAATAGAATATGAAAATCATCTCAATTACGTGCCACAGGTAAGTCAAGATCGGCGACAGCCATTAGAAAGAAACTAAAACTATTCGTTTTCAAATATCTTCTGACATTATGAATGTCGTAACTATGGTAATGGTTGCGTAATTTTACTCCTATTGTTCTAATTTTTATCTATAAAAATTTTATTTATAATTCTTTATTATTTGAAATTAAATTGAAAAAAACACGATTTGTTTTGTTTTGTTGAATAAATTAAAACGATTTATTTTCTATTGGTTAATAATTTATGCAATAGAAGAGTTTTATTTTAGATTGCATATATCATTCGATTCTTATTTATTGTTTATTTATTGTCTATTTTAGTTCCTCTTTCATATCATAACGTCCTTCATCTTGTTGATATATTATTTATTTGTTTTTATCAAAAATACTATATTAAGATTATAAATAAATTTTAAAGATATTTACACTATGTTCTATTAAATCATTAAAATGTCTAGTAATACACAACCACCTTTATGGAAAACTGATCATACAGTACCTGGAAGGTAAACTCTTTTTTGATCAATTTGTCAATTACAATTTTTTCTTCTATAAAAGACCTGTTTTCGGTGCTCAACATCCGCCACTTTCATCGAAAACTTTAAATAAGTAAAAAAATAGAAGACTCTAGATAAAACAATTTTTTTTTAATTGATTCAAATTCTTTAGAAAGCCAATTGTAATGAATTCATCGATGTCCAAGAAAAATGATCAAGAAAAATTTCATGAATATGCAATAAATACTGATGATGCTTGGGAAATAGATGATAGAACAATGTCTTTAAAACTAATCGAGACTGATAATAATAATAATGGAAATGATGATGATAATCAAACACAATTATTGAATATTTCAAAGCAGGTTTGGTGAAAAAAAAAATAAAATCAAACTGAAAAATAAAGTAATGTTTATTAAATTACTTAGGCAGTTGATGAAGTTGCATCAAGAGTTATACAAGAACATAAATCGAAAAGTCAATCAAATAAAGTTACACTTGATGCATCCGCCGGTAATTAAATTATGATAACATTTTTAAAAAAGCAGATACTATTATTAGATTTATAAGAGTAATCGTAAGAGAAACTGAGCATATATTCATAAAAGTGACGTATGGCCATGTGATAGGATTTTTTTCTCTTCCGATACGGAGTTTTTTTTTTTGAAATAACGAATTTCGGTAAATGAAATACCGAAAATCAGAGATTTAAAAGGATATACATTTGACGTCACAAGTTTCGTTCTGCTTTTTATTTTTAAATTGCGTCCTACAACCAGGCTCGGACTTGACCGTGCAATTAATGAGATCTCGCTGTTTCAAAATATCATTACATTTTCGAAGTGGTAATTTATATCAAAAGCATAAGAGCGAAAACCTGAGAAATTTGTTGCATTCAAGAATAAATCACAGAAATAGAAGATGCTATCGTTGTAATAAAAGAATTCTTTTGTTAATGAAAATTTATTTGCATCTGACGATGAACCATATGATGAAGTAACTGAGTATATGAAAAGGAACCTGAATTACCAAAAAAAGAGGACATATATTATCATGATGGGAAAAACATGCATATAAATATCAAAAATTATGATGTATGACACGAATACTATGTTCCATTTTAACGTCATCAGTAACAAGCAAACGCATACTTAGCAAAATTCCTCGAATTTTAGAAGCAGAAAAGCTCTCAGTGTATCCTAAATCATTTGTCTTTTGTAGACTTTGAAATGATCTCTATGCTTTGTTGCTGCTTATGAAAAATAGTAAATAGTATACTTTTTCATATAAAATAAAAGTTTAAAAGTCTTACTGTGACTCTGAAAGTATCTGCTAGATCAGAAGCGTAGCCGGGGGGGGGGGGGGGTGCACAGGGTGTCTGGAGGGAAGTCCGAGTAAAAAAATCTTTTTGAGAAATAAAAATTTATTTTACTGCTGGTGTGTACCCCGATAATGAGTCGGCACACCTCTTGGAAAAGTTCTGGCTACGCCACTGTGCTGGATGTCGATTAGCTCCTATCGAGTATCAAGTACAGCTATTCGAATTCGGTTTTGAAAAGCCATACCCGTGTAGAACACTATTTTCGTAGTCGTATAGTGAGCTACGCATTATTTATTTAATATAATTATACTCCTGTATAGCAAGGCTTAAGTAGTGAAAAAAAAACTTCACATCGTTGTTACAGATCTTAGCAGTTTTGTCACATAGGCTAAACTCGATCAGCTATGGAATTAACATAACAAACTATGCTTCGAGAGATTGTTGTAAAGTGATGGAAAAAAGTTTAACAACAACGTAGTTTTCATTTTGTCTATATTGTTGAGCGCAAGTAGCTCAAATCGAAATAATGATTTTATTAGCATATGAAATTTTTCAATCCATTGCATTCTATAACAAGATTTCGAACATACTGGACACATTAGCTTTCACATTCTAGAAGATTTTCGCGGAGCTAGTTTTTTAGAATATCATTTTAAAGAGCGCAAAATAGAGAGTCGCTGCTTCATCGACAACCTTCGCTTGAAAACTTAAAAGTACAAAAAAACTATAAAACAATGAAATTTATCAAAAAATCTCCTAAAAAACGTCTTTTGATGGTTTTTGTGACTACTATTAAATTTTTAAGAGAAGGTTGTAGAAAGTGTAGCAACCCTTAACAAAGATAGGTTCTGGAACCTGAAAACTGTCATGCTTGATCTTTGAGAAATTTTGCCATTATATTTTATCTTTGGAATCTTGAAATAGAAGGCATCAGATAGAAAACTCTATCGACTGTTAAATTCATTATTTGGATTTGAGCTAGAAGCTTAATATTATAGAAAAAAAATGAAAAATATGTTGTTTGTTAAATTGTTTTTCATCACTTTGGACATCTCATTTTCTGATGACTTCTTATTTATATCGCTTCAATGAACAAAAAGAAATAGAAATTTGAATGAATTACATGAAGTGCATTTTAATTGGTACCCTATAAATTTAGTATTAGATAAAGCAAAAATTTACAATACATTAAAATTAGAAAAAAGCATTCCATTATGTAAGATATTGCATAATAAGTAAAAGTTATAATTATGTCGTCTCGAGTAGCAAAAATGTGTCAGTCCATTATACACTGCATTATTTCATGAATAGAAAGATACAGACAAACAGCATTCATTACTTATTGAAAAGGGTTTAGTTACGACAATGAATGATGAATCATATAATAGAAAAGGAACAAATCATTAAACACTATTATGATCATTGTGATATTTAAGTGGAAGTTTAGTTTCTCTATGCTACTTAAAAAAGAAGGCTGTGCGAAACTTTTTGACTTTGATGGTATATGTTTTATCTGAAAATTTTGAAGTATTACAATAATCTTGAGATTTTTTTATTTTATTCTGACTAATGAATAGATGGTTTCTGACAGATTCGAAAAATGAATCAGTAATAATTTGATAAAAGCATGTAAAAAGCTGGCAATCTATTTTTTATGTTGTAGCTAGTCTAATGATTTTAGCAAAAATAATTCTCTATTGGCAGATGCTTTTGATTTCTTTTTCCATCGACAAAAACAAAATGACGTTGAGTAATTTGATTTAGTATTACACATATTGTCCATTTTGTCTGTGTATTTAAATGTGTTCTACACGTTTAGCAAATGTATGAATGATTAATTCACTTTACAGCATAGATTGATGATTAATCTTAAAATAGAGTTTGTGGTCTAATCAGAAAGTTGTAAAACCAAATCACAAAAATTTACTTATTAAGAATAAGGAATGAGTTTTCAAAATTTTGGATTTCAGTGCTCGAATTAGGTTCGATTCCGAGCTAAATATAATAATATTATCTATGCCATATCCATGTTCTTCATAATCAAATTAGTTTATCTTTGATCCTTTCAGGCATTTTTAAAGGGAAGAGTAATTTCTATAATAAAAGTTTTCTCGTGCGATTTATGATAAATTAGTAAGGAAGGATTTATTCAGCAAAGCCGTCATTTAAATGAACAGTTCAGTGCCTCTTGTCTTATTAATCATAAATGTTAAGCAAAATGACAGTGACAATATTCATTGGTTGATATGATAAGTCTCGACAGAAATATATTCTTGTGTAGACCTAGAGATGTAGTATTAGTTTATTGACAATCGACTTACGAGAAAAGTCTTCAACTGATCAATCGCTTTCTTACCAAAAGCTAATAGATTATGAGATTCTTGACTATACTGATGTCCGATTATGGCCATAAGAAATCCTCTCATGGTTTTCCAGACTCAGAATTTTATTTGAAATTCATTTGTCAAACATAGAAAAGATTATTGTCTTATAAACAACTCAATATGTTTTATAATCCGAATAAATCAAAAACGATTGTCGCAAAATGTTTTTCTGCCTGGAAAATCTGTTTTTTAGAAAACGAGGAGAAGAGGGTTTCTCATATTTATACTTAGAATCAACTTGGTCGATCGCTCATAATCTCGTAACTATTGGTGAGGAAACGATTGATCAGTTGAAAAAGTTTCCTCGTTAGTGCATACTACACCATTGGAATACGCCGCTACAAAAAAAGACATATTTCGATAGAGTTAGTATTTCAGTTTTTCAGCGAATGTTAGTGCCCTAGTGAACTTTGTGTTGACAATTCATTCTCGGTATTTACATCAATACTGCACATCCCTGCGTAGACTCTTAGTTTAGTTTGATATTAAAATGAATGCGGTTACATAAGTTTAATGTTATGCTAAATAGTTAGTATACAATATTTATGTTATTTCGATTGTTAATTCTAGTAAGAAGACCAGTTATAACAGCAAATGCAAGTTCAACAACATGTCCAGGTATTGGACGACGAATCGGTGATTATCCAAATATAAAACCATTAGTACCTATTCGATATACAAATACTACTGCTAATAATAATTCAAATTCTTTCGGGACTATCAATATTACAAGACCGAATTTAATAACAAAATCTGATATTGATATTCAAAAAGAAAATAAGTTTAAACAAATTTTCGAACAAAGCAATATTGATCTCAGTA